GCATTTGTGCGAATTCCGTATGAAAGCGGATTACGACCGCAATTTGGTTCAATTAAATACGCACACACAGACACACACTATAAATATATAAATAGCAAGAACCAGGGAGAGAGAGAGAGAGAGAGAGAGAGAGAGAGAGAGCTACACCAAGCATGCACTTATCTAGTCTCATGGTCAGTGGCCTCGGCTCTTCAATATTTCATGCACGTTTCCCAAAAAAGTATGCTACACTTTGTATGTTGTCGCTCTGTACTTTCAGCCTATTAAATATACATTTCAATGCCCATGCATACAAGCACACACACACATACACACACATATATATACAATATACTCTGTTGTCGAGTTTTTATTGTCACAGCCTTCGCTTTCACTTTTGCTTGCGTTCAGCTCAATTCTTGGTTTTATACAATTTTATACGACTCGTTTCCCCGCAAGTCAACAATAAAAGTGAAAAGTTAAAAGGCACACACACACACACACTTACTCATGCTCTCACAGTCACAGTCACACACACACGCACACAATGTCATGCTCACACACACACAGTCACACTCAATTATATATGCAGTAATTTTGGCAACTCAGTTGACCTTAAGAACGGTCCACACTCAGCAACAAGTTTCTGGATTATCGAGCGGATGTGCGGAAGCCAATACATAAAACCCCAGACTGACTGGAAAACTGACTTTCCGGCTAATCTGATTAAGTGTCAATCCAATGATTGACTGGTTGGCTTAGGCTGCTCAAGTGATTGATTAATTAATAGACCGCCATTTAGAAGCTAAATAATAGTTAACTAAGCAAGTTTGGGCTGGCTGAAGAGCTGATTGACTGACTGATTGACTGATTGATTAATGGACTGGATTGATTGATGGACAGATTAGCTGATGAATAGCTTCAATGAGTGACTAATCGAGCTGATTGATGGATTGACTAGTTTTATAAATGAATGACTGAATGGCTGATTGAACATTGATTGAATGATTTACTGGTTGATTGCTTCATTGTAATTGACTGACTGAGTGAGTAAACGACAGAATGACTGATAAACTTATAAACTGATTGAAAGATTGACGGGTTTTATAAAAAGAATGACTGACTGGCTAATTGACTATTGATTGACAAGTTTAGTGGTTGATCGCTTTATTGTAAATGACTAACTGAGTAAATTACTGAATGTCAGCTTGTTTGACTTACTAACTCTTCCATTGTAGTTAATTGACTAATTGATTGATTGATTGACTACTTTTAAGAACTAATAACGGGCTGGCTGATTGACCATTGATTGACTGTTTTACTATTGAGAAAGGATTGACGGCTTATGTAGCTAAGCGCTTGTATTAAATTGACTGACAGATAGAGTGATTAAATGATTGAAGGAGTGACACAGGCATTAACTAGTTGGCAGACAGAATGATCTACATACACATATACATATAAGACAATAGGACAGCCTGTCATTCACTTGCAAGCAGTCAGTTTGACTGGCAACGAGTCAGTTCGTTGATTAGTCACTCAATCATTTAATCACTCAATCCGTCAGTCAATTAAATGCAGTAAAACATTCGCGCACACGTAACCTAATTAAGAAACTATTGGGCACATAATATCACTACAGCCATGAATATGAAATGGGCGCGCAGTCGAGCCCAAAAGCGCGTATGCATATTTCTCTACACGCGTGTGTGTGTATATACATATATATTGGTATTTATGTGTGTGTGTGTGAGAATGTTTGTGTACGCCAGCCAATTGAGCGAGAGCAAAGTCGCACAAGCGACAACAAATGTTCACAATTGAATTCCAAATGAAGTTAATAAGAGGCAAAAAAAGAAGAGAAAACCAATTTCTTAGCTACCCTCGAGATGAAATACTTTTTATCATGCCGCCAAGTAAGAGGTGCCCATATATAAACGTGTTCCATCTTTCTTATCATCCCATTGCAGGGCGATAAATAGGTTCGCATTCATTGTTAGTTCAATTTATGAATGTGAAAGTATGACATGTCTGAAATATATTGACATGACATGCCTTAAAAGCCGAAACTCACTCTTAAAAGACAGAGGAACAGGTAGAGAGAGAGAGGAACAGCTGAGGGAAGTAGAGCCGGTGCCCTATTGATAATCGCTGTAATTAACGGTGATGAGCGAGTCACACGAATGACAGCTCGATGTTAACAGCTCGACAACGACAATAAACAAAAGCATTTACAACCCTCACACTCAGCTTACGAAAGGTATATACAGCTAGCACAACAACTTCAGCTGTTAATCTGTTGCATATTATTAAATAGTATCTTATTATCTTATTATATTTGTATCTAGTATACAAACTGAAAACTTATTTAACAATTATCGATATTTATAATCGCTTGCTATCGCATGCTATTCCACTATTCATTCAAGAGTTTTACTACAGCAAAAGTCTCAAACAATTGATCAACTCGATTGATTGAGCATATAGAAAAAAAAACCTGTTCATAATTGGAGCCGCTTGACGTCCTTAATCGGACAATAAATGCAGACATCGAAAAACAAATATTTGTATAGGTTAATAACTGTATAGGAATGCAAACCAATCATACGTAAGAACCAATGCATTGGCCTCACAATAGAAAATATGTATATAAAACAAGTCAGAAAGGTTAAGGTCGAGACTGCTCGACTACGAGATGCCCGGAACCCTTTGAATAGCTAATGTGCCAACAATTCAACACGCACACACATACACATATGTATGCAGACGCTCTGCTAACTGCGCAGTTAACGCAGCGACTGCAACTGGACTGGATGGAGCTTGAGCTTTGTTATTATTTGTCAAATAAATTCTGCAGAAGATGCATTCAAAATAATCCAAAAATGAAAATCGTGGAAAATGAATCAGAGTATAAAAAGTGTAGTTCTTTAATCGATAACATTGTGAACGAAATTGCTATCGATTTTATGCAAAACATAGAAACAAAGAGAGCCATCATACCCTGATTTCCCATTTTCAATTGGCTCAAGGTGAAAGAATGCAATCATTAAAGTGGAAATTGAAAAGGTCTGCCACAAAAGATCAAAGAGCATGTTATCGATTAATTACCATAGCAATGTCTGTGGGCATGCCCGACTAGCTGCTACCCTGCGACTTTTAGGGTAGCAGTTCAGCGAGCCCATTGCTCTCTTAATTGAGTTACCCGGTGGCAAATCGAGGATGCAGGTGGATGCTATCCCTTAAATTCGATTAACGAAAGGCGAGCTCAACTAGGCGAAAAATTGACGAGCAACGAGTGCAACGACGCGACGTCGACAAAAAAACAGAATATTAAATTAATGAAAACAATTATCGGGCAAGCGAGGGTCAATGCACACGCACACACACACAAACGCATTCAAACTTTAACGTAACTGTTCGATGCTCGTTCAGGGACTCGTTTGCGGATAACTTTCTGCGGTGCCCGCGCTGCCCCACATGCCCTCACTCCGCCGTATAGAACTGTACGTATGTATGTTGCGCATTCACATGTGGACATTCCGGTCGATCAGGTTGGCCCGACAAATGGCCCTCATTACAACCAAAATCCAAACGAAATGCAACACAAAAATGGCAAATCAATTGCAGGGGCAGAGCAAAGGCTGTAATACCGCCACGCCCCCTTGCCGTAGGACACAGGCCTGGACGGACAGTGTCCGCATTTATGAACGTAATTGAGTGCATTACTTTTGATTGCCTTGCCCATAGATAAGGTTGAAGTAAGCGCGGCAACGCAATCAAATAATGCTACCATCACACACACACACACATATGCATATATAGACACACACACACACAAATGGAAATACACACAGACAAGGGATATGTGTCACGGAAACAATATGCTCTGCCTAGGCAAAGCAATTCGCTTGACTTTTCCATTAGCTTTGCGGCCTCAATGCAATTGACCGTTAGCTCGTACTTGAGAGGACCCTACCTATAACCTATACCGGACAATGGCGACGCGTAAGGATTCGTGTTAGTTAATATAGTATGGAATGGATCTATAGAAGTCTTTTGAATCATAGAAATTAGAAAATTGGAATGAAAATAGCTAGAAAGACGGTGTATGAGATATTATAACATATAAAACATGCAAACTCACTTATATGCATACTGAAGAAGTCTTCTATAGGTCCATTTTGGAGAGCCTAAGGCCTAGCTTGCCACAGATATTCGTTTAGCTCGGCCATTAGCTAAATAAGGACTTTAGATGACTCTACGGATAGCTGATCATTGTTGTAGCTCGTATTTAGGATTGCGTTTATGGTTCTTATTCGGCTTGACTGCGAATTTAGTAATCGCAAAATGGTTTGTGATAAATGGAAACCATAATCGATTATATAAAAAAATAATTGTATCGGTCTAAAGCGAAATATTTGTAGTGCCAAGGCAGAGCGATGTTTTTCTAAGGCGGATGCTACAGTACAGGAATACAGGAACATATCTTTAGATTTTTACTGAATTCTAGGCTTAATAAATATATAATAACATAGAGGAATATATCATTTGAACTTCACTGAATTCTAGGCTTAATAAATATAAAATAACATCAGTTTTTGGAGTATAATATCTTAAATTTCTAAAAAATAAGAATAAAATCATTTGTTTTTTTATTATTTTTTTTTTTTTTAGTTAATCAATTATTTCTCTTCACTTAATTGAAATTAATAATATGATTCAGTAAACGATTCATAACTTTAGTTTCCCAACACTAACAAGGACTCTCTCTATGGCTCACCTCAGCTGCCTGCCCGCTGCTGCAGAGTATTCGAGTCTCGGTGTTCGCCATTCACTTTGTCTCGCTGACCCTCGACCGTTGTATGCCCTTGATATTGATATAACACTTGCGTCGCATTGACGCAGCCAATTTGATTGGCAGCCCACTGGCCTTGTGGCCACGTCTGGCCCGATGACCCTGTTAATGCTACTCAGTGCGCTCTCTCACTCTCTCTATCTCTCTCTATCTCTGTCTGTGGCAGGTCTGCGCCATTCAGCATGTGGACGTCTGCATGTTCAACAACGGCAAGTTCAAGAACGTCGTTGCCGACTCGGAGAACATATCGCCCGCCGTGGACCGCACCGTACCGCCGGGCGGCACACTGAACACCACCGTGGCCCTGCGGCCACAGCGCGGCCCCACCAAGAACTGGATCGCACTGGAGGACACGCTGCAGCGCAGCACCGAGCCGGATGAGATAACTGGCGCCATTGCCGCATCGGCCATACGCTCGCCCAACTTCGTGATGCAGGCCGCCCAGCTGCTGACCGGCCATCCGCTGGCCAGCCCGGCCATGGCCATGCCCCAGCCGCCGAACTCGGCGGGCACAGCCACTGCCGGCGGCGCTGGGAGTGGCTTGGGCGACGATCGCAATGTGTTTGCCATCTACGTGTCGTACTACGTGAAGGTGAAGCTCACACTGAGCGGCATGGGCGGCGAGCTGTCGCTGAAGCTGCCCTTTGTGCTCGTCCATGTGGACGAGTCGCTGCGGCCGGGCCACACCTCGGCCACGGTGGCCGAGCTGCGCATGGAGCGGCTCACGCTGCAGGATGTGCCAGCCGGGCGCAAGAGCGCCAAGCGTTCGTCCACCACGAATAAATCCTCGAACACCTCGCCCTCACTGGTCGATGGTCCATCCACGAGTGCTGCGGCCGCCGCCGCTGCGGCCGCCAGTGCCGGCGTCGACGACATCACCCAGCTGGATGTCATCGAGGCGGCGGACGAGGAGTTCAACATATGTGTGCCCGTGCCAACTGGGCCGCCGAAGCCCAGCTCCAGCAGCCAGAAGCGGCGGCTGCAGCGCAGCGAGACACTGGCCCGAGACATCGACGAGACCGAGGAGGAGCAGGAGGTCGAGCAGCAGCAGGTCGAGCAGCATGTCGTCCAGGTCCATTTGGAGCAACTGCGCGAGGAGGAGCGTCCGCAGCCGGCCACCGAGACGGGCGCCGTGCCAAAAACCACAAATGTTTGATTCTGATTGTGGTCTCAGATGTTTGCCAAACGAAAGAAGCCGTAGGCGGAGACTGAGGAGGAGACTGAGCAGGAGGAGAGGCAAACGTGGGCCGGACAGAGGCGAGAACAGGTCAATCGAAATTGGAAGAGCGAACGGAGCGAAGAAAAAGACGACGAAGAGAAGAATAGAAGAAGGTGTTAATGAAGATGATGAAGAAGAAGAAGAAGAAGGAGGAGGTAAAAGTGTATATTTGATGCAAAAGCGTAAGCGATTCAGTTTCGGTTTCAAATGAAAAACGATTTCACGATTAGCATAGAAGGTCCCTGGGCAGTGGGACGATGGGCGTGGATGGGGATGGTGCTGGGGTTGGGGGCTGGGACTGTTGGCGTCTACTGAAAGCAGCCAACGAGTAGAAATTTAGTTTTAGTAGAATTTTCGACAAGAGAATTGTCAGCGTAGCTGCTGCAGCAGTTGAGGGGGGAGGATCAGGTGGAGTGCACCGGGTGTGGGCGGACATTTTGGGGGGGGGGGGGAGGTGTGGATGCTGGAGGGCCAGGGTCAATCATGATTGGCGCCACAAGGCACGAATATAGCTAGGTATCGATACCAATTTACTCAATCCAAATGATTGAGAGCCAATGGCAAAAAGCATTCCAAATTGGAGGCGATACAACTAAAATTGAAAAAAAAAAGAGAAATAAATAATAAATGAGAAACTAAAAACCGAAAGAAAAAAAAACTAAAAATATATTTAAAATGAATGGAATTCAATATATACAATATATATTAGTAAGTGTGAGTTGATATTAAACAAATATGCAAAGCTGTCTAAAGTACTCCCAACCAAAAAACATATACATATATGTACACATATATATATATACATATATATAATGGAATATAAATATGATATTCAAGAAAAGCAAATGGAATGATTCAAATGAAAACTAGAAATATAAATGTACTAACTAAATGAACAACTAACTAAATATAAAAAACAAAAACTAAAAGTAAAACGAAAACATATGAATGAATGAATGGATACCCAGTTCTCAATATAATTGATATACTATATATCTACTTATCCTATGTCTATGTTTGTGTGTTGTAATTGAAAGCTAACACTATTCCAAATGGGAATGCCATGTAATACCATATTGTAATACTCAATCTATTCGAAAGCAAATGCAAACACACGAACAAGAACAAAATAAACCAAAAAAATATAAATGTTACGGTTTCACCTGAAATGTATTTAGAATCAAGAAAAGCAAAAGCAAAAACAAAACAAAAAAAAAAAAGAAAATGAAAATGAAAATGAAAACAAAAACAAAAACAAGTAAAGCAAATAAGATATACAAAAGAAAACATGCCTCTGCGAGTATACATATCTGTGAGTTCTTCTGTCATATTACATGCATAGGTATACACACATATACACCATATATACTACATACATATGTACACTCCATTATTCCCCCTCCCCCCCCCCCCCTTGCCACATTACACTCATACACTTAGACCAAAAATCACTTTGAAATAGCCGTACAGATACGCACAGAGAGCGAATTTAGAGGAAGAACGGTGTGAGCCCGGATGAGTCACACGATACAGTTCTGTCGACATTCGTATTCCCTCGAGGATATAGTTTGTAGAGTTTGTTCCACTTATGAAATGAAAAGTAATAATAGAGAACCGAACATAAGCATAAACTAACTCTAGTCGAGGCTGTTCGACTGGGAGATCCCTTGAACCCCAACGACTTGCTGATATTCCAATCGTTCTACATATCTGCTACACTACACACGCACACATACGCATGCGATTCGGACTAACTGATGCGAAACTACTTGCTGAATAACTTTCCTAGTAGATGGACTATCGTAATCAGACTTTCAGAATGTGATAATGACATTCATATGTGTATATTTGCCAATCCACTTGAAATACTGCTGCAAATTTGAAGGGCAAGGTCGTATCCAAAAATAAAAAATTCTAAAAATAAAAATTTAAAAAAATAATTATATCAATTGCACATGAATCTAAATTCAACATTTGGAGACTCTAGCTCTATAGATAAACAAGATACAATTTTAAAAACTGATGTTAGACAAGGTTTTTTTTTAATCGATAACACTGAAACAGGAATAGTTGTTATCGATAAAATGAATCGATTTGCGCGTGCTATACAGGGACCTACATAAAATTCACGAACAGGGCTAGATCGTTTCAACTCGTCGCGCTTATCAAGAATATATACATATGTATATACTTTATGGTATATGCCACGCCTCCTTCTGTCTGTTACATGCATACATTTCAAGAAAACCCAATTAAAACCCTAATTTCCCATTCTAAATGGGCTCAGGGTAGGAAAATCAAGTCGCCAAATGCAGTTCAAAATGTGGCTAAATGCTAAGTTTGTATTGCTAACCAAGAATCAAGTGAATTATAAATAATAATGGGGATACCCATAGTGTTGCCGGCCGAAAAAAACACAGTAAAATAAAAATAAAAATAAAAATAATAAATAAATAAAAAATATGAAATACAAGTAATTTAAAAGAAAATTCTACAAAAGCTATACATGTATGAATGTCTATTTAACAATATTTGATTATATATGTATGTATGTAGTAGCCAAATGGAGCTTGACAAATATTCTCGATATATCTATGTGTTTAGCAAACGTAAATGCCTAAAGCCTAGATCCGCCCAATACACAACATATATATATATATATATAGATATACATATATGTATATGTCAATACATTTCGAACGTCAACAGAACTGTGGATATTCTGTCCAGCAAAAAGCGAATTGAGCCAAAAAAAAAAAATCGCAAGCAACAGGATACACACACACACACATGCACCCATGCGCCCCTACAAACTGAAACTCACACATACACACACACACACACAGTTACAGCCATAGAAATGGATTTAAAAAAGAAAAAACTACGATTTTGTTAGCTATAAGCGCAGTTCCATACCAAAAAATATCTCAATGTGTAAATGTCTAAAGTTAAATCAAGAATTTATGGTCAAATAGACAATTAGCCAAGTAAACTAACCAAGTAACTAACCAAAATACACACATGCATACATAGCCCGCATATAAGCCATATTCCAAAAGCAAACTCGAACCGATGCTCTAGCATTTCCCCACATTAACCAAACACATACATATGCATGCATATGCAACTGCCGTCTACACCCATACATACATGTGTATTTCAATATATACATACATATGTATATACATATGTACCTATATGTGTCTATGATCTATGATCCAATTAAACGAAACCAGAAAGTATTTCCAACAATTACAATTTCAATGTGATGCATTTCTGTGACCACACACACACACACACACACGCTCACTCACACACACACACACTGAGTAGCAACTGAAACGGTAGCGAAAAACTAAAACTATGAACTATCCTATACGATCCACGTGGATATATATTTATGTAAAGCTGTCGCCCGATTCACAGATTCACATTCAGTCTGCCGCTGACATCGCCGGGCGTTTATCGGGCGGCAGCTCTCTATACATATATCTATATACAAGCATACATACATATATCTACATATATACTGAAATTGATGTGTATTTAATAAATGTTTATTCTGTAAGCCTCATCTGAGTGTCATTGATTCATTTTTGGATGGCGGGAATTGGGATTTGAGGCTGCAATTATAATATATTTTACACATTTTTGTTGATGTATTTTTTTTTCTGTGGGAGTTTTTGTTTATTCTTTGGTTCGCTCTGTTGGCGTGATTAATGATTGGAAGGACTTCCAGGTTCATGGTCGCATGATGCACATCATCAAGAGCATCTGAAACATTCTGAAATAAATGTTAAACATACAAAACAAAAGAAACGAAAAAAAAAAACATGCACACACAGTATTGCTTGTTTTCGTTTCGCAAAAATGGGCTCCATAACTTTTGGCTGCTGCGACAGCCAGCAGGCCCAGCAGGACATCAGCTTAGACCATTAGCCAAACTAACTTAGTGGGGACCACCTACTATTCGTGGCTCCAATAGCAGAGCTAACCACACACACAGCCACAGCCAGAGTCACAGCCACAGCAGAGGCACAGTTTACAGCCGAGGGCTACGTGAGCAACAAGCTAAAGGAGCGCGAAGAGTTATTTAACATTGCTGTTAGTTAACAGAGTATTGAGCTTTTCATGCTATTGTTTCCGAAACTTTTTCGGAGTAAATAAAGCTTTAAAGCACACATAAGCCAATAGCTTATCAAAGCTTGCAAAGCGCTCCGCATAGGATATCGAACACGCAATTAAGCTTTATCCTTAACTTACCACCAATTACCTTTTATGTACTTAAACACTCATACATATGTGCAGCAGGTATTTGTTTATTATTTGCAGTCAGAAAAGCTCATGTGAATTCATTATGTAAGCATCATTGGTAGATGCTGAGCCAAACCTATAAATTCATGAAGTTATTGCGAGTAAGTCCTCTGATTGGCTCATCGAGAACGCGCATTTGGCGAATCAGAGACGCTGGAGTGCTGAGCAACAATAACAATGTGCAGCTGGAGTGCCTTGTGCAATGCTACTATGTAGAAGAGTGCAGTGTATGTGCAGAAGAGGGACAGCAGGTGCCTTTGATTCCTATGCTGCTCGCAACGTTTGTTGTTGTTGCTGCTTTGCCGACATCGTTGTCTTTGGACTCCACGATGAATGATCGTGCGCGTTTGCCGAATAGACACGAAGCTCTGGACGTCGGCTTAAGTTGTGTTTTTGTTTTTATGGCTTCGTTAGCAAGCGAGCTCAGTACATACATATATATACATACATGTGTGAGTATGATTGCGAATGCAGCGTACATGCCGTTCGTGAGCGGGGGAGAAGCAGAGTGAGCGAGACAGAGATTCATTCAATTAGTGTAAGCCGCTAATTTAGCTGACATTTATTTCTGCTGTCAACAAAAAGAGATAGAAATTTGATGTATGTTCGTATATGAATTAAAAAAACGTGCAATTTGTTTACATAAATTTTTAATAATTTTTATTTGATTTTCAATAATAAATATATTAATTTATTTAAATTTCTTTTTTTTTCTTCTTTGTTTTCTTCGTTCGTTTTGTTGTGTTCGCAGTTGTGTTACGTTTTTCAACCACAGTAGTTTTTTTTTCTCATTACTCAATATGTATGTATGTGTGTGAGTGTGAGTACGTGTGGGTGTGTGTGTACATACATATGCCTGCATAAACACAGGCACGCGAAGCTAGAGAGTTTAAAGATTAATTGAAAATGATTTTGCTAAGCAATCGAAAGAAATGTTGCAACAAATTCGAGTAGCGAGTCAGAAGCGTTGCAGTGTTGTTGCATGTTGCATGTTGCACGTTGCATGTGTGAAACACAGTTTGTGATGCAATTAATTGACTTCAATGCCACGTTATGCAGGCCACGTCAAGCCGCATGACATGCACGCTGAGCCAGCTGCTGATAACAGTTACTTTCCCTACTTGTTTCATCGTCCATCTCTAGTTACATATCAAATGTACACTATATTTTATTATATATATATATATATGTATGTATATGTATATATGCATGTATAAATAAACTTTATAGTTTTCTTGTTTAAATTTCAGGATTTCATTTCGTTTCATTTTGGGAGGCAAAAAAGGCACTACAATCTAATAAAGTTGAATGAAAAAGTTGATGAATAAAATCAAGTTTTACATATATATATATATATGATTTATCAATATGTATGCACATATATGAACAAAAATAATATATTGGTGTTTCAAGTACTTGAAGTAATGCTTAAAAATTCGTTAAAATATGTTATTATCATTTCTCATTTGTTTCATTTTTCGCAATGTAATGTTTTGAGGCAAGTTAAAAATGTTAGGCATGCTTGATGTTAAAAGTTTATAATTCGTTATTATTAATAAACAATTGTCCTTCTTCGTTTTCGTCTTCATTATATATATATAAACTAATCGAATTGTATTTGTATTTAGATTTATTTAATATGGTTTTCTTTCCATTCATTAACAGTTGTTTAAAACTATTTTTAGTACACATACATATGTATATATATATATATATAAATGTATATACATATATATACATACACATATACACTTACTTCAATTATTTATAACTCGTCACTTTCTAAAAAAAACTTTTACTTCTGCTCTTCGCATTTTACATTTTAATTTTAGTTTGTTTTTCTCTTTAAAATACAATTAAAAGTGGCAATAAATTAGTTAAACGAAAAAAAAATTAAATAAAATACATTTGAAAGCAGGTAAATAATAAATATTAAAAAAAAAAATACACATAGTTTAACTGCCTTACGTTTAAGTTGTAAATTTTTATTCTCATTTTTTATATATATGTTTTTTATTTGTTAGACAAATCGTAATGCGCACTTAGTTTATAAACAATTTATTTTTTTTTTTTTTAGCTTTAGACGGCGCACACATAAGTTGAAAATTAAATATAATAGAACTACATTTATTTGCTGCTCTAAAGTGGGGTTTTTTTATAGCTTTTCCATTTTCTTTTTTTTTTTTAATTTGTATGGGAAAAACTAGTTAATAGAATTGTTTGCATTTGTTATGTATTTTGGTTGCGGTATATATAAGTAGATATCGTATATAGTTTACATTAATATGTCTATATAAATTCATTGCTTAAATCGCTGTACTCTTGTTGCTCTAAATCGTGTGTTGAAATGATGCCGGAACAAGGCGGGGCGGGGCGGGGGCGGGGGCTGGGCTAAGTATTTGGATTGATTGAAGTTGGACGTGATCTTGACCAATATCTCAACAATGTGTTAGCCACAAGCCAATTGAGAGGACAGAGACAAGAGCTTTACTTTATAAACAAATGCAAGAACTTAAGTGTTTATCTGTTCATTGTCGTTCAGTGTTTTGTTTTGTTTTGTTGTGTAGTGTAATCAATATGCATATAGCAACATGTATGTACATGTAATGTAAATAAATAATATAGAAGTTGTATACAGTTAATGATAACGTTATCAGTTACATATACAGTATACTCATATACATATAACTATATATATTTATATATATATTTTTTTATTTATTTTTGTAATTTTTTTTATTAACCCGTTAACACGTTTTAGCGTTATTTATCTGCAACTCTTTTTGTTCGCTGCGATTTTATTTGAATTTTGTTTTAGTTTTACTTTTTCTTTCTGTACTTGGATTTGTGTGTGTGTGCTTTTTTTTTTTTTTTTTGCTTTTTTGTGTTTGTTTTTTTGTTTAATCTTTCAACTAGTTTGCACACGTTATATTTTGACATATTTATGTACGTATATATACTATATAAAAGTTATTCGTTTATTTGTTGTTAATTGTTTTTGCTGCTGCTGCTGTTTGTTGAGGTTTTAAGGAAATGGAAGCGGATGGATATATTATTTCTTCTTGTTGGTCGCCAACATTGGGGCGCTGCGCTGCGGTGTTGTTGGCCGGGACGAGTTCATGCCGCTGTACAAGTACTTGGCCTTCTTCTCGGATGGCTTCAATATCTGCAATGGAAATGGACATGAAGCACACTCGCTGAGCACGCTCAACCCTCAAGTTTTGTACGGATCTTACCTGGAATGAGCACATGAGCGTATCGTCCACGGTCATCATGCCGCCAGCATTGTCGAATTCGCCGCAGTAGTTGGGCGCCGAGAACAGTGTGACCAGCTGACGTCGCGCAAAGAACTCGTAGCCATCCTCAACGACCTAAGAACAATGCAAGGAGATTTAGATTTCGAATTTTAATAGAAATTCATTGGAGTTTCGCAGTCTCACCTGATGCGCACGACATATCAAGTCCAGCTCGTGTCGATTCAAGAATTTTGATACCACATCAACGCCGAAGGTGAAGCTAACGCCACGATCATTCTCGCCCCAGCCCTGGACATCCTTGTCGGGATCGCTCCAGAGCAGATCGCACAGCAGCCCAGTGTCGGGCACATCTGTGGGTCGCATCAGGCGACGAATCTGCTCCATGCCCTGCAGGTCGGGACTGAGGCCGCCGTGGCAGCAAAAGATCTTCTCGTCGATGATTGCGGCCACCGGCAGACAGTTGAAACAGTCTGTGAAGGTCTTCCATAGTTTGACATTATAGCGACGCTTGCACTCGTCGTAAAAGCCTGGCGAGAGACACAAGTATTACAAATAGCATACACAGAGGACCTAGTCATGGATTATAAGAGCATCGCTGGGCAAATTCCTAGCATAAAGCACTACATATACAATATACAAAAACCCTACACATCTAAATAATATACAGTTATTTCTCACTGGCCTCATATTCATTAATAGACCACATATTTTATTTTTTCTCCACAATCTACTTATAATCCACAATCCATGGATTCAGATTTTACTACATTGGTAACATGCGCTCCACTATCTGATAAATTAGTTTCTTTTCCCATAATTAATGGATTCGTGATTTATTACATTAGCAGTTCATATAGGTTCCACTTACAGTCCACATGTGGCTCACAACTGTGCTAAGATCCACATAGCTCAAAGATTAATTGCAGTTCTATCTAATGCATATGCCTTTTATAGAAAAGTTGTCTATCTTACAATCCACATATGTTCTACAATCATATTGCAATCCACATTGTATGTTCCACACTCAAAGGAATTTTTCTTCGATCAAAAACTTGTCTCCCCCTACATTAACACATGTCCTAAAATCGAATTACAATCCACATTGAAAATATGTCTGTACCGCTATCAAATGAATTTTCTACACTTACAATCCACAGGTGTTCCTCGATCATACAATACACACACAGCACAATTACAATCTATCAAACGAATTTAAGTGCATTGATCAAAATATATACACTTACAATCCACATATGTTCCACAATCATATTAAAATTCACTCAATTGTGTTCCTCTACCAAAAGGTTTGCTACACTCGCCACCCACTCTTGCCCCCATAATACTCTTGCAATCCACAAGTCAAACTTAATATACTCTCAATGTGGATGGTACATGATGGTACACGCAATCCACATCCCAAGCAGCAATACACACACACTTACCGTAAATTCTATTAATACTGGCGCACTCGTGATTGCCGCGCAACAAGAAGAAATTCTCGGGATACTTGATCTTGTAGGCCAGGAGCAAACAGATCGTCTCCAGTGACTGCTTGCCCCGGTCCACATAGTCGCCGAGGAACAGATAGTTGGCCGTCGGTGGAAAGCCGCCGTACTCGAACAGCCGCAACAGGTCTGTGTACTGGCCGTGTATGTCGCCGCAGATGATCAGTGGCGCCTCCAGTTCCAGCAGTATGGGCTGCTGCAGGAATATCTCGCGCGACTTCAGACACAAGCCGCGCACCTCCGCCTCCGTCATCTGCACCTGTTTGCCGGTGCGGCAGCTGCGCACTAAAAATACCAAAGATCGTTTTAGTCCAAATACCATATATATACGCACAGATGGCTAAAGACATGTATATATATATATCGAGATGAAGAGACAATTACGCTCTACATATGCAAGAGACTCGAGCACAGGGTAGGTACAACAAACAATTGCCTCGAACATGGCGTACGACTAATTTATCGACGCCCATTTTGTTGCTTAGCCTGTGTGGGCGGGGGCTTGGGGGCTAGTTTCGTTGTCAAGCGCAAGGGAAATGGTGGAAAATAGCTAAGACTTTTTGCTTTTTGCTGTTGTTCTTGCTTTTATTGTTGTTGGTTGTCAAGCACAAAAGCAAAAAAAAAATAAAATAAATAAAATTAAAGAAAAGCAAAAGGAAAAGGAAACAAACAAATGTTGCATGGGCGCAAAGCGTGCGACTTCTGATGCATGTATGAATGCGTGGACACCCGGCCTCGCTGGCAGGGGGCGTGCCAGCGAACGACCTTCAACACAAACACATGCAGAGAAAAAGCGCAAAGCCAGCAGACGACACGTGTGTGTGTATGTGTGTGTGTGTGTGTGTGTGTCAGCTGCATTTGCTGTAGCTTCAATAACATTTTTTATGCGCTGCAAGCAGTCGAAAGAAAAACAAACTCTCTTGCATCATGTATTAGTAAGGCACAACAAGTGGGCGTGTCACATGCCCACTCACACACACACACACGATGAACATAATTCTCCATTCGCTGTCATATTTGCTTTGAAATTCATTTTTTGCATAGCCAAGGGAAACGTCAGCACATCCCTGCGCTGCAAATGCAAGTAGGTCACACCCACACACACACACGCACACACACACAGAAGCACACACACAGAAGCACACACACAGTTCCATACACACATTGTGCTACTGCAGGAAGACTACACAAAAAAAAATTAATTAAATTTGCATACAGAAACTCGCAAAAAAAACTAGATTCGAAAAAAAAAAACAGAAAGTGCTAGCCGAATATTAAATACTCTTAATACCAAAAGCTTTATTTGTGAAATGAAATTTTGTGTAAACAGAAAGCGCATAATATGGAAATGCAAGTCAATAATGAAAATTTATCCACTATCCATTAATAATGCTGTCTGATTTGAAGCATATAAAAACTTGTATAGGTAAACGATTTTTCATGAATATATAATTAAATGCCCTTGAAGTAATACCCAGCAGATCCAATATTTCAAAAAAATTAGCTTGTAAGCTTAGCTGTTCCTACTATGACGCGACTTTGTCTACGGAATCATCACGGATTTCTTGGAATAGAGAAAAATTACAGATGAGCGAACGAAAGTTCCAGCAATGGAACAGCTATATACCTAACTGAACATTCAGAATAGCCAAACTTTCTGAACTGACATTAAATAATCTCTAATACATATGAGTTTCTTATATTGTATCTTAACTTGAAGAATTTCCCATAAGCCTAAAATAATAAAATTAAAATATAAGCATAAACTATATAAACTATATACTATATAGCTGGTTAAGATCAAATACTACTGAATTGAATGTACCTATTTATCTGATTGGTTCGTTCTATGGAGCTAATACCTGATCCCTAATCTATTGGAGTCCGTTTTATTCTACTTCATTTACATAGTATACATATCTTAAAGTTACAGTATATTATATAATATCCGCCACTCTGCTACCAATTCAGTTAGCAAGTCCACTTAGCCTCTTCAGCTACTAGAGAGAGCAGGCTTAGCACACAGAGAGGGAAAGAGCCAGCCAAAACGTTTTGGCCCGAAGTGCAGCTGCCTGAACTTTTCAACTGCAGCTGTGCACAGCTCCTTCGTTTACACCACCCGCCACCCGCCCCACCCCACGCCCACATCTCACACCCATCACCGGACTCCTGGGTTAGTCGAATGCTGAGCCAATGGTCAACGAGGGAGCAGCAGGATTTTCCTCTATTTATAGTCGTCTTTCTAGCTGCCAGCTCCAACAAAATATTTGCATTTGCAATTGCAGCAGCTGTGATTCTTTATAATTAATCAATGTGGAAGCGACGCAAAGGGCAAAGGTCTCCAGCGAATGGACGTGTGGGCGAATGGCCAGCCCCTATCTTAGCTATACTATGGCATTTCCGAAATATTTGTAATTTCATTAATGAATACTCTGTTTCGGCTTTCCATTTATAGTAAAATTTTAACTTAATTACTTTGCAAGTTTAAATTTGTAAGGCAATGTACTTAGCAGCCATTTTCCTCTCGAGTGACCCTTTCATGATTTTCCTTTGCTCCCTCTCTCTGTCTGCTCCCTCTCTCCGCCCGGCACTTGAATTTCCTGCCATTTGCTCTAGTTTTAAATGGATTATGCCTAGATGGCACTCCAACTAATCTGCAGTGATTCTCCACTCTCAACAACGAACAAAGAGATAAACTGATGGGTATAACAGTTACTCGTTGTTTTTGTTTTTCAAGTTTTCCTCAAATTACCCAAAGTGTTTTTATTCAGAAATTATAAGTACCTAAGCAATTAAGCTTTACGTTCTAAAACACTATATACCAAATGCTATTTCGGTCTTGTGTGTATAACAGTTTTGTGTTTCGAGGTTATTACAGTTTTATTTAGTTCTGCTCGAGAAATATTATTTGTATAAACTCTAAATGATGTGTAATTAGAAATTACAAATGTAAAGATGGACGTATAACAGTTTTGTTCCTTCAATTCCTAACAGTTTTGCATTATATCCTACTTAGAACTTTGCACAATGATTCAATTCTGCACCAACTGAAGATTTAATCTATCCATATATCCATCTATTTATGTATATAACTAACTTTTTGCACCTTTCATATCTAGGGCAACATCTGTATAACAGTTTATATCAAATGGATAACAGATTTTTGGAGCCTTTTCCTTTAGCACGTGCTAAATAGATTCGGCACACTTGTCGGAATTTCTTCTTCTTATTGCTGTTCAACACCTTCAAAGAAACTCGAATTGTATTTACATATTCCCAGAGGATTTGTGCTATAAACACTTCCGGTTTGTTGTCTGCTCGATTGCATTTTAATCTCTGTGAAACACTTCAGCCTTTTTTTCATTTGCATGCCCAAGCCCTCGTCCTCATCTGCATTCTCGTTGCGTTTGTTTTCTTTATTATTATTTCCGGGTGTCTGAAGTGTCAGCTCTTAAACTACTTTATTCTACACACCCGCTGAATTACTCAATCTGGCAGTGGATGTTTGTTGTCCTTGTTGCTGTGGCTGTTGCTGTGGCTGTTGCTGTTGCTGTTGCTGTTGCTGTTGCTGCAACACATTCCGAGTTAAGCTAAGCACTAAATTATGCACACAGCAAAGGTTTCATTCTGCCAGCACATGAGATTCGCTTGGCTGTCCGACTCCTGCCAGTGTCTACTCATCCGTCTGCCTGTCCGTCCGGGCAGCATAGCGCCGAACAGCTGCTGTATACTTTTGGGTGCTGCATAATTCGACGCCAAATCTGGGAGCTGGAGGACTATCGAGTGTCTGTCGAGTAGGTTAGCATCTCGCATAAATTATGCAACAGCTGCTCCACTTTGTCTCCACTTTTGTCTTTGCCAGCTGTGCGTGTGTGCGTTTCTGTTTGCATAAAGTCACAAAATCTTATACCGTGACTTCTTCGGAATGAAATACTAAACTATTTATGCTGTGCTATAGTGTGAGGATTAATAGAGTGGGCTATTACTCTGCTAACCATTCTTTTTATTCATTTTACTTAATACAAATTACTTAAATTGTGTTATACTGTTATATATACTGTTATATTTATGGGGAAACCTACTGTTACTCATAGATCAATTAGAGATAGAGGGGAATAGTGAGAAAGAGATGCTGAAAGAGAAAATTAAGTGAGTAGGAAGAAAAAACAAAAAGAAGAGGGCAAAGATAAGGAGAAATGAGAGAAGGAGAAAAAGAAAACGGGGTTAAGCCCAGGGGAAGGAGAATGAGACAGTAAAAATAAGAAGAAGAAGGACAGGACAAATACAAGGAGAATGAGAAGGTAAAACGAAGAAGAAGAACGAGAAAGAGAGGAAGGAGTTAGAAAATCAGAAGGACAGGAAAAGGAGAATGAGAAGGAAAAGGAAAAATAGAAAGAAAAGGCGATGGAGAATAAGGAAAACAAAAAAAATGGAGAAACCGAAAAGAAAAAGGAAGAAGGATGAAGTTGAGAAGAAGCATAGCACAAAAAGTCCAAGAAAATCAGATAAGTAGCAAAAAATTAAAAGAGAAAGAGAAAGAGAGAGAGATATTTTTCATTCGCTTCTCTATGCAAATTTGCGCAGTGCAACAAACCAGCAGCAGAGTCCCCGCAACGTCCCATCGCCTCCCCGTAGGCCAACGAGCTGAATAGACAGTTGTCAACATAAGACAGACATATGGCACACAAGATAGAGGGGCGTAGGGTGCGGTGCGGTGCTGGGCTTAGGCTCACATAAAAATGAAAACAAAATACAAAAAACATAATGTATATATACTATATAAGAGGAAGAACTGTTATGCGTAAGGCAAAAAAGACGCGCGTGTTTGTTTTTCATGCATTTTACATGAGAGATGACGATGCAGAGCACGTGCCACGCCCACCCACATCCATCCACACACGCACGCAGTCAGTCATCGCCCCAGCTCCAGCTCATTTCCCTCTGTCTCAGTGTGTGTCTAACTGGTTCATCATGATTAACATTGTGCCCAGCCCCCGGCCCATGCACATCCCCTCCCAAACGCAAATTAAAAATGTAAAAGATATTACACGTGCCACGTCCTGCAGCCTGGACGAGACTAGCGCGCTGATGCAGCTGATGATAGCTCAACTAATTCGCAACGCTTCAAATTATGCAGCACAGAGCCGTTTAGCTGGATGAAGTGATGAGCGAAAGAGAGCAGAAACAGAGGCAGGCCAATCCGAATTCGCCACACGCTAATTGGGCTATATGAAAGGTTTTGCCCATAGATATAGATTTGTATATCTAATGGAGTGCCAAAGTCACAAGTCAGTTGGTAGTGAGAGAGC